GTTAGAAAAATAGAGTTTTTTTATTAGTTTTCAAATTATAATTTTTTTTATTGTATTTTTGACAAATTTTCCATTTATGTAATTGCTGTAAAAGAAAAAATCTGCTCTCTTTCCTAATGTCTCTCTCCCCGTAAAATCATCCAGCAAATACATCAACAATTTCAAAACGGGTGTTGCCGTGGAAGAGGAAGATCGGGTCGAGTCGAGTAGTCCCGAATCATATTCGAGAAAACAAAGACATTTGATGGTGTTGGAAATGTCGGTGTGGATCCCTCTATGGTGGATGTAGCGACAGAGGAAGGAGATTCGGAAACTGAAGATTCCATCGGCAAAATACAGAAACGGTCACGTATGGTGTGGTTTCCGCATCTTCACAAGAATTTTGTTGAAGTGGTGGCTCATTTAGGATTAAAATCGCTGTGCCAAAGATTTAGAAATTAAAAATTAAGCCTTGATTGTTTTCAGTTTCTGGACTAGTTTTTGGATTTTGATTCTACAAAAACRAATTTTTTTTGCCAATCGTGATTCTGAAAAAAATGATTCCCTTATTTTTAGGGAAACTAGTTTTTACTCCTTTTTACCATTTCCTTCACAAAAACTAAAATCTCTATTCTTTGGGTTTTTGGAGAAAAAAGTTGCCGAGACTTCTCTTTTATACATACAAATTATCTGTTTTTTTTTTCTTAGATATAAGTTATATAAAGTTATTTCGTTTTGTTTTTAAAATATTGGTTATATAAAAATTTAGCTACTGCAATTTCCATAAGTTTAGTAGATTACACAAATTTTATATAGTTTTAATTTACATTTTTACCATAATTTTTGTAACTAATAAATATAATTTCTTAAACGTAACAAGTGTTGTACTTACAGTAGATACAATGTTTTATTTATGGTGTTATATTCTAATTTAATTATGTGTTTTACTATAGATATGGCGTCTCAGGGTAAATCATCAAATGGCAAAGAGGTACCTATTTATTTATTATGTTTTTTTTGTGTATACTAATTATGTGTATGCAATATCGTGATTAAAGGGAAAATTTGAATGGAACGATAGCATGATTCATACTTTTCTTGAAATATATGAGTCTGAGATGGAGCTTATTAGTTGGCGTACCGGCCTTCTCAAAATAGAAAGTAGAACGAGAATTATAAATGCATTTCGAGAAGCAACGGGTCAAAATTCTAAGTGGCTTCCGTTAAAAAATAAATATTACCTTATAAAAAAAATGTATGACATTTATCGTCGACTCATCCGAATGACTGGAGTTGGACTTAGTACCACTACAAAAGCTATTGAAATGGATGACGAATGGTGGGATAATCGTATTAAGGTAATGACCAGTATATCCCATCAATCTTTTGTCAATAATATATGTTAAACTAATTTTTTGGTATTTTTCAAAATATAGGAAATACCAGATGCTTCAAAGCTCCGAGCTCATGCCTCTTACTAACCTCGATAGATTGGATCGACTTTTTGGCACCAAACGCATCTCCACGGATGATGGATACTATATCCAGGTGCTGGAGTAGATCAACATAATGATTCCACCGAGAATGATTCTGAAACAGTGAATCTAGGAGATGATTACGACGTGCCTTTAGAAAATCTGGATGAAACACCATCTTCCTACAACCAGAGTTCCAAACGGGTGTATATATGGAAACATGCGTACTTCATCTTCAGCACGTAAACGAGGAGCCGCGAAAGTTTCATATGACTTCGTGACGAACGAAGCTTACATGAAACGAACCGAAATCTATGAACGAGCACAAGATAACAAGTTAGAACGTGCAATTGACTCATTACTCACACTCCCTGGTCTTCAGTATGACTCCCCTTTGTACTGGGGAGCAGTGACTGTGCTTCAAAGCAACGAAACGCATGCACGTGTTAATTTCACACAACCCGACGATAATGCTAGAATTACATATCTTGAGCGGATGACAGGAATCAATCGAGCAGCTGAATAAGAAAACGAAAAATTTTAATTATCATAAAAACTTATTTACTTTATTTTGGCACATTTTTTTATAAGTAGAATAATTCTTATTTTTCTTTTATGTTATTTATGCATTAATAATATTTTTCTTGTTTAATAATTCATTTGTTGTATATTTTTTTTAGAAGGAAGCATTTTACCGAATGCTTGAAGATGATGAAGTAGAAGATGGAAGCATTAATTTTGGAGAACTATTCATGGATCCTTGTTCCATGCGTATAGAAAGACAATGAATGAACTTGGATCCTGAACGCGGGCGAAGATTCGTGTATGAACTAATTCATGGTCACGAGGAACAATGTTATAACATAATTCGGATGTATCCACCGGTATACATTCATTTATGTGAAAAGTTGAAGGAGGATTATCATTTGAAGGAGACTGATAACGTAAGCATCC